CTTATTCATCCTGTGCAGGCGTGATTTATACTTCTGAGACTTTTATGTGGCTTTCTGTTGTCCCTCTTTTAGCTTGCAAAGGAAGTAGTGCTGTAACGTGTGTTTCAGTCCCATTAAGTGTTTTAATCTAGAATAATTGTGTTTGTTTATTGTATTAACTCAGCCTAAGTTTTAATGTGACCACAGTAATGTAGAACACTCAGGGAAAAAAAGAAAAAAATATTTTTTTCTATTTTATTGTTATGACTGATCAAATCGATGATCAATCTGTGTACGCATGTTACAGAAATCAAGGGCTTTCTAAGCAAGAAGGGTTGGGTGAGAATGGAAGTGCAGGCCCTCAGGTAACGTGTCACTAAACACCATCCCCTGCCAAGATAACTTCTCTATCTTGTCAGGATTTCCACAAGCAGTGCCAGAAAAGTATCATTTCTGAGAATGACTCTCCGTGGTCACGAGTCCGGATGCCCGACAGCAACAGCGCTCTCCTGCCCCAGCAGGTCATTTGGAATTACCTGCAGGGACTGCCAGCTGCTCTGCACCTGGTTTTCTGGGGTTGCTTCTCATAGGTGGGGTATTGCCTTCAGGAAGCCTTTTAAAAAACGCTTTCACGGCTCCAGAACGCAGTTTCTGCGTTTGTTTTGCTTTCTGATGTTGTTAGTGTGGAAATCTGCAGCGAGAGAAGGGAGTCCCTTGCTGCTGGAAGCGCAGCCTTGTGTCTGGAGCCGCGCAGCCGTGTGTTCCCACGAGGGCTGCAGACACTTTGGGAGGTGCAGGTGGTTCCTGCTGCTTGGCCAGGACGATGGCAGGTCCCTCCCTTGGGGTCAGGTGTGACTCAGGTGCTGCTCCAGCCATGCTGGGCTGGGCTGGCTCTCCTGGGTGCTCTGAGCACCAGCACCCAGACCTGTTCTGCCGATTGCTCAAGTCCCGCTCAGAGGAGGAGCATGTAAATCTCAGGCACTGGAATAATTCCCCCAGGAGCCAGTTTTGGTACCTGGGTGGCAATGTCTTTCTTCCATAAGCGTAGAAATGCTGCCATGCAAATCCTGTGCATCAAACCCCCCTGGATGACAGTGATTTTGTTTGCTTTTAATTAGCACATGCCAGTTCATCTCCTGGATACCTTCATTACTGAGTTTGCACAATGCCCAGCTCAGCCTGGCCGAGGTGTGCAGGAGATCCTGCAGCCTAAATACAAAGTGCTGATGTGAGGCACTTAAGGCATCGTTTCTTCTTCAGAGTACAGAAGGAATTTGAGAGATTTTTCTGAAATCATATGTACATAAATGCATAAGTAACTCTTTGGTTGGGCAAAAGGCAGCATGTTTCCCCAAACTCGATCTTTTGACTGTGAGTGTGCGTTTAGCTGGTAAGAGTAAAACCTCTGCTGTATCTATGCACAGTGACCAGCAAAAGTGACCCCCCCCCCCAGTCATCACCATGAGCTTTCAAAGCTATTGCAGGTGCTTGGACTTGCCCCGTGGGGATTTTTAGATTGCATGGATGTTGCCTTAGTTCACTGGGAAATAAAACCACACTTTCCATTTCAGTATTAGCATCTCATATTTTTCCTAAGATTCTGTTGATATTTGAATCAATTTTAAATTACTTCATAAGAAGTAGTGGGGGGGGGGGGAAAGGAGGGAGAGAGAAGGGAAAGAGTTTTTTTTTTTAATTTGTAATCCTTTGCTTGTATCTTATGTAGCACTTCTGAGCTGCTTCCTGAATAAGTTTAGTTTTAGTTCCTAATACCAGTAATGTTGATTTCTGATATAAGAAATAGCTTCTTACCTCCTTCTCCACTAAATCATAGTGACAGGAGCCCCAAAATTCATGAAAATACTTCTAAAGAACAGAAATACCAAAGGTGCATAGTCTTACAGGTTTTTGTTGGATTTTCTACACATAAAGTTTATTCCAGTGAGTGTGGCTAAAGTATTAGCAACAAAATAAAGTAGGAGAAGATAAAATGATTACTAAGAAGGAATTAATAAAATGGATCAAATTTTATGAGGTATGATGTGTTTGAATGAATGAATTTCAACTGATGTGGGTGCTGCTAGATCTTTTTCCTTTCCGAAGGATTGCAGTGCAAGAACTCACCAGAAATAGCAAATCCTCTCAATATTTCCCTGGGATTGATTAATATTTTTTCTTATGTATGGGTAAACTGAGGCTTTAAAAAATTGACTCTTTGGCCCAGGTTATTAGAAAGCCAAGTATGAACTGTGGAGGATTTTGTCTGTCTGACTTGCTGTACCCAGTGAGAAACATCTTGTGTCTTGAAGAAAACAAAATAGGGAGTGATGAGAGCACTGAGAGCTCAGTCCTGCCTTGCAGTTGTTGGTGCCATTTTCCTGAGATTTCTGGAGTAAGAGCAGGATCTATAAATCTTACCATTATCTCATTAAAAGCAACCAAATGTTTGGGACTAGGAGATAGCAGAGTTTGAAATGCATATTGGTTTCCCTTGGAGTGAACTTGGAGCTATTGTTGACTGTTCAAAGGGAGCCACATCCAGCTCTCCTGATTGGAAAAACATGGACAGGGAGTAAATGCCAAGACCTGTAGCTGCCTTCTGTCTCCAGCACCAGTGTCAAAGTGCTTTGAAACTTTCCTATGAAGTTAAGGGGTTTAAGGTTTGCATCTCATGGTTGGAAGCAGGAGAGCAGCAAACAGACCCACCAGAACACCCAGCCCTCGCTGCCTCTGTGTCCACATGTGCCAGATTGTGTTTCTGTACATATCTTTCTGCCTTGGTTTGAAACCTTCTTACATAGACCTGCTGTGTTTAGACAGAAGAAATTACAGATTTATGCAGTTATTTCTCATTCATTCATTGGGATTTAATGACTGGTATGGGTCAGGCTTTGCCTGAAACTTGTTATTTGCATACCTGCCTCCTAACAGTGACTTGGAAAATCTCTTTTCAAGGATAAGTAGAGGCCTCAAAAGTGAAATTGTGAAACTCAAGAGCCTAAGGACACTTGATGGGCAGTGTCTTTCACTTCTGACACACTAATAACAGATTGAACCCTTCGGTCTTTGGGCTGAATTTAGTGTGCCTGCTGCAGCTGTTGGTAAGCAACTGCTTATTAAACTGTGAGGTATTTTCCTTTGAAAAGTATTTCAGTCATGCTTGTCATAAGTAGAATTTGGAAGTAATTTTGTGCAGATCCTCTTCCAGGCTCGACCCAGAACTCAGGCAGCAGAATGGAAAAAGCTCATGGCATTTTTACAGAGAAACAAATTGGCCTAAAAGGCTGGTGGGGGCAGAGGACTGACAGCAGGGACCTGGTGGCGGGTGCCCGTGAGCCCAAGGGTTGTGATGCCCAGGAATGTCAGTTGTGGAACTAGTTTGAGCAGCTTTTGGATGGCTTCATTGTTCCTGTGGCACAGAGCAGGGTGGCTTGGAAAGGAGGAGCTTTGCCATCACCTCCCCAAGCCTGGGTTTCAGGTTACCTTGTCCACGGACCAGGGAAATCGCTGTCCGGGAGTTGGGTGTGCAGGAGGTGTGATGGTGGTGGACAAACACTTCACTTGCTCACCAGACTGGGGCACACCTGCTCCTTTTACTCATTATGTATGTAAAAAAACCAAATTGCCAAGTGCTGTTGTCAAGATCTACTTTCTAAACACTCATTTTAAGGCAAAGCAGAGGGGACACCCCAGTTTGTGCTGTATCTGCAACTCAGCAATGAGTGAAAAATGGTCCCTTTATGATAATAAGCCAGAGGACTTTAGAACTTTGGCTCAAAGTTTCCTGCAACAGGCTGAGCCCTCAGGTGTGGTTAAACCAGAGAACATGTGGGCAGTTGATGGCTCAGCATTGTAATTGTTTTTCCCACGTGAACATGTTACAGAATCCTTTAGATAAAATATAGGAAGTGTGAGTATATTCAGATGGCAGCAAACACTGACATTATTATAGTGAAGTTTAACTCTTTGTTATGTTCTTTGATCCAGAATTAAACAGGAGTAAAAAGTCATACTGGTTCTTTGGATTTGAAGTTAGGCAACGTAGTAATCCTTTAGTGTTAAAGCTGAGTTTTGTGATTTAGGGCTTTTTATTTTTAAGCTGAAATCTCAAATGCTGAGCGATAGTTTTAAGTTTATGCACCTCAAATCCATCTGTGTACGGTACAATCCCTCTATGTACAGGATTTTATTCACTTGGTAGTACAGGAAACAACATGGACATGAGGAGGTTCAGTACAGCATGAAATTGGACCCCCAACTTAATGTCACACTTTATGGTTTACAAAAAACTTGAGGATTTTGTTGAGTTTTAGGGAAAACTGATGCTTCCAGGGCTCTGATCTCTGGGTGGCCACATGGCAAAGTCAGGTTGAAATGGGCAACCAATACATTGTTTTCAGGGGTTTCCCATGGTTTGGTGTCTCTTAAAAACAAACCAACCACCTTCTTCAGCAAGGCTCCATTCCTTATTGATTCAAGGGTGTGTTTCCAAATTGTTTTCTTTTAGCCATGAGGTGCTTGCTGGTACTCAGGGGCACCCTGCTTTCCCTAGGAATGGGTCAGAGCAGGGTGTGTGTGTGCTCCCTGCAGCACCCAGGACACCTTTGACTCTGTGCCCCCACTTAAGAGCCCCCCCAGCTTCAGGTGAAAGCCAGCCTTGAGCTCCTTGAGTGTTACGTGGTCTCAAAGGCAGGAAATCTTATAATTTCTCTTGTTCAGCTCAATTTCTCTTTCACTTTTCATAATCAGAATCAAAATGGGGTTAATTTGCTGCTGGATTGTACTGTCTCATTGCTCCTGCAGTTGTGACTCAGACAAAAATCCAGAGACTTCAGTGCTGTGGGAACAGCAGGGCTGTGCACAAAAGCAACTTATATTAAAAATGCCAACTTTTGCTGCCTTCCCTAACACGAGTTAGCACAGGCATGTTCAAGTCTGGGGGTTCAAACAGCAAATTACAGTAATTCTGCAATAGCTCAGACCTCTAAAAGTGCCTTTTTCCCTGTCTTTTCTCTCTGCAGCCCTCCTGGGCCAGGTGATGATACACAGTTGGCTTCTCCCCTCGACCCTTCCGAGCAACCCTTTGCTGTTCCTGTGGCGTCTGGAAATGTTGGCCCCGTGGGTGCTGCAGAGCTGACTCCAGACAGGTACTGTCCAGGGCCAGGCCCTGGAGCTGGGGGAAGTGGCTGCACCTGCTTGCTGCTGTGGGTGTCTTAGTGCTGCCCAAGGAACTGCTCTCACTCTCCTTGGATGGACAGATGTCTGTGCTGGCTCTGCCTGCAGCCAGGGGAACATCTGTCAGCAGAAATCTGTGTCAGAATTTACATCCCCCCTTATCAAAATCTTCAAAAGAAGATGCTGTTTACCTTTCCCTGTAACTGATCCTTTGTCCGTGTTCTGTAATTCTGAGAATTTCCTTAACAGGATAATGTTGATTATAATGCAGGCCCTGATTATTATTATTCAGGTATCTCATCTCTGTTGGACTCTGACCTTTTTGTCTGCCTTTGCTTGCACTGAGAAGGGAAACTGTTGCTTTATTTGTGCTGGTGGCAGTGGGGTTGTCAGGATCTTTGGGCACATAAACTTGTCTTAACTGCCAACAATAGAGGAAGCCTCGTAGGGTGTGTGTACCCTTCAGTCACTGGGAGTTCAGTGGAGTGTAAACATACACAGTATATTTAAGCTAGCATTAAATTTGTTAGCTGAAGTCACAATAATGTGTCATCAAAGGCAGAAGGGACCTTGTGTGGTTTGCTCAATCCACCTTAAAAGCTGGGTGACTTTGCTATTTAGCCCATACTGGTTTGCCACCAGTCCCCAAGCTGGTTAGTCACTGGCTGAGTGAGTCTGTGAGAAAGAAACTTTTTCCTACACTTGGAGTAAGATGATCTAGAGAAGCTTACAGTGGGAAGCTAATGATGTGGATTTCTTCCAGTTCTTGTAAGTTTTTACTCAAAGAGCTGTGTTTCTTTGTTTTTAACAAATGTAATTGGATTACTGATTTTTTTTTTTGTGGATTCTGGTTTTTTTCTGCTAATGGATTGTTGGCCATAGTAGTGAGGCACTCAGAAAAGGGTGAGCAGTAATTGAGGTGGAGCTGTGAGCTCCTTTCTGAATGTGGAGGCAGGAAAAAAAGGCTAACACCAAAAAGTGCCAGAAAGATTTATATATACTCTCTGGACCACAGACTAAAATAGAAAATTCTGTGCCCTTAGGGTGAAAGTTTGCTTTTTGCATAGAAAAAGGCACACCAGCTGTCTGTGATTAAATGCCACCTTAGGAAACATTTAGGGAGAGCAATCTTCAAGTGTTTTAATTCACTGCCTCTTGTAAACCTCATGAATTCACCCTGTTCACGTTCTCACCTGAACCTGGAATTTCAAGTTAATTATATTACATCTTTTCTTTTGATGTACTTCATAACTTCTGTCTTTAAAAGGTTCTCTTGTTGGTGTCTGACAGTTATTCTGGGGGTTCCTTGCCCCATCCCAGCTGCACAGGCTGCGAGTGCTGGTGCTGAGCTGTGGTTGCCCCATCCAGAGTGGCTGAGCCCAGCGGGGGTGAGGGCACACAGACTGTGCAACAGCTGCAGGATCTGGCTCTTGTCTCCATATCCTGACCTTGAGGGAGCTGCCAGGATTTTTGCAAGGGTTCAGCACTAAAAAGTTGCAAACCAGGGATATTCAGTGTGGATGTAGGTAGTTTTCCAGTTAGGAAAGTGAGAGAGAAATAACCTGTGGTCAACTGGAGTGAAGCTGGCTGTAGTAGTTCTTCTGTGTTTGTTTGTTTAATTCTTTTGTTTATTTTCTAAGTGCTGCACAAGTCAACTCTTGTCAGTGTTGTTTGTTTTTCTTACTCTTTTGTTTTGCATCGTTGTTCAGCTTCCTATATAAAAGCCTACCTGTTCTCCTTGCACCTGTCTTTCCTGTCCAGGGTGTTGTTGCTTGCCAGCCTTCTCTTTGCAGAGATGTTTCCTGGTATCCCAGCAGTAGAAACCCAGTAGCTGCCACGTGTGCCCACCCCCAGGTGCAGCTGGTTGGCAGAAGAGGGGTTAAATCAATGCAGCTGGACCCCTGCTTTGGCTCCTGTGGGTGCAGTCATGGTGCTACTTTATCCCTGTGGGAACAGCACTGCTGATTTCTCAGTGGTTTGGTCAGACCTGAACTGGTAACAACATGATGTTGGTAGCAAATGAGAGTAGTACTCTTAAAACACATGGGATTATGCTCACAACAAGGATCAGCAATAGCAGGACTGGGCTTTTCTTATCCAAGAGCTTCAGTGATATTTGTTGTGTTGTGTCATCGCCTTATCCCTCATCAGCTTATTAACCTGCATGATGGAGCAGTTTATTGCTTATATAGGTAAGGTGATCATATTGAAGCCATTCCTTTTTGTCATTTTATGTAGAAACGATGCACCACTGCTTTTCAATATGGCTGGATAATATTCTGTAATGCAACACATGTGATGTCTCCATGTGATGCCTCCTGGGTACCTCTGCACTAGACTTTGGAGATATTACCAGGGCTGCTGAATGGCATGATGTTTATTCCAGTCTGTCTGCAGTAAAGTGCAATTATAAAGTGTTTCCCCCAACATATTTAGTTATTTACTAATCAGTTCCCTTTGTTTCTGTGTATTTCCCCATCCCATGTATTTCCACACCACGTCAGGGGTGGCACATAATGCAGATGGTGTGTGCACTTTGGCAGGGAAAAACAATGGTGCGTGTAAGGTGGGGGTCAGTTTGTGCTAAATGGCTTCCAGATGGCAGGGCATGGTAAAAGATCAGGCTGTCTCTCCATCTGTCCAGTCAAGAAACTGTATCTTTGTTTTGCTTTTTGAGGATGACTGTCTGCCTCTCTCCTGCTGATAACTTATTGATCAGGGGCAACATGGTATCACCTGCCCGGTAAGATTTTATTCACTGTATCTACAAAGAAGTACCCTGAAAACAATTAGGTAAAAAGTTCATTGGCTGTTCTGCCAGCATTTTTGTTTAGCAATGAAGGGCCAAGATGACTCTGATTTGCCAGTACACGTTGCACTAGGAGAAATTTTGGCTAGACACGGCTTTCTCTTTAGGCTGCAGGTGCAGAGCTCTGCAACAGGACTTCTGTGTTATATAAGGAATGTTTGGGTTGGAAAGGCAGAGAAGGCAAATGAGTGCCCCAGCTTTACGAGACCACAGCTCAGCTCTGTGGTTAGAGGTGTGAAACATTTCTGAGCTGTGTTTATCTGTTCCCTGCAACTTCCTGCCTGTGTCATGGGGAAAAAACCCCAAACCTGCAAATGCCCGGGAAAAAAAAAGGCAGCTTGGAAAGCACTTGCTGCATGAGTTTTCTTTATGATCAGGCCATAGCTAACAGGCAGGGCAACTCACTCTTGTCCCTTCCTCATGCTAAGGAAAGCTTCTGCTCTTGCATTTAATCTCCAGCTGAGGCTGTGGAGCTGCTGTGGCCTTTAGTCCAGCCCAGAGAGAGTTGTTGCAGCTCTGTCTTGAATACTGGGGAACAGAAGCTGTTCTGAACCTGAGTTGACAATACAAAATCTTGAATTCCCCTGCATCAACCTCTGTCCCAGCTCTTTTTGTGCACATTAAGCTGTCACAGGGAATTTGTAATCAGTGATGATGTATGCACCAGAAGCTGTATTGCTTTGTCTGCAGATGGACCTTTCCTGGCCACGCAGTTCACAGCCTGTGGAGTTGTGATGCTCTGGGGCACCACGGGTAGGCAGAGGTACTCCGGATTATCTGTACACACAGATAGTCAGAAAGTGACTTTTCAGGTTTACTTAAACAGAGATGGTGCTTGAAAATGTTGGTTTCCAATCAGCTCAACTCTACAGGATAAAGACTGGTCAATGTATAGTTCATTGTGCACGGGGAAGACTTGGCCCTTTTGGTAGTATTCTTGCTACACCCATTAGAATATTACCAGTTGGGAAATAAGTTTGACAGAAAACCTTGTTTTAGTAGGAGCTGTGGAGAGGCTTTAGTGTAGCCACTTCATGTCTGAGCTGATACAAATACTGTGACTTGATATGTGTACCTGAGTTGATGCAGTCCTAGGTTGGAGAGTTTAGAGTCTGTGTTTTGGACAGGGTTGCTGTTCTGTGCTACCCTACCTCATTTTTTGCAATCTGAACCATTTCTGAGCTGCTCTGCTCCTGCTTGTCCCCTAAGAGCTCACTGTGGGCAGCACCCATCTGCAGGTACTGCCCAGTTGAGGATGGGCAATAATCAGGAGCTCTGTGCTGCTGCAATTCTACCTGCAAGCCCTACTGAGCAGTGCCAAAGTAATGATGTGGCAATATTAGCCCCAGACTGGTGTGATTAGTCTCACAACCTGCTTTTCATGGCCTCGCCCAGCACTTCTTGGTACTGTGGATCCCTTCCCAGAGAGACAGCACAAGCAAGGCAGCTGAGGCTTGGCAGGAGTGGTCTTTGTGGGAAGCCAGTATTTGATGGTGTAAATGAAGCTTGGAAAGATGAAAGGAAATTAGCTGTGGATTTTAACACATACAGCACAGTAGCTCATGAAAGTAAGCCCTGTGCTTTGTGAAGGCCAGGGAGCAGAGCTCTTATAAAAATGCTTGTGTGTTGATAGCAAGTTTTGCTATAGCGGTAGGAATGACATTCGTTAGTCAAACTGCACATCTGAAAATTGTTTCATTTTATGTGGAAAGACTTAGAGGGGGAAGCTGAAGGGCTGCAGGTGGTCATTTGGGCCTGTGTGAGGAGTGTGGGTGAGAAGGGAACAGGTGCTGCTGTAAGCAGGTATCTGGGACGGCTTTGTGTCCACAACACCAGGGCCATAATTTTGTATGCCTTTGGTGCTCTTGCTTGGCTGGGCCCTCTTGTGAATTGTTTGGGTTTTGCAATTCTTTGTTTCCTCTCCAAACAGATGTTCAGCATTCGCTTATTTTTAGCAGTTTACTTTTTTTGCCTTAAAATCTTACTTTCACTGCTCTCCGTGTGCCCCTATATAGTCACATCGCCTTAGTATAGATGGGATGCTGTTGCTATATTAGGACAAAGACATTTTTAGCAAAGGACAAAGGCCTTTGCATGAAAAAGGAAACAGCTTGCTTTGAAATCATTATTTATTTGTGTTACCTTGATGTGACTGAAAATATAGGATGTCAGTGTCAGGCCAGTTTGGATAAACTGGGGAAAGGGAGGGAGGAAGGAAGGAGTGAGCGTGTAAAGCAGAGATCATTTCTTAGAAGCAATAACTGTAATTATCCAATATGGCACAAAGCAGCTTCATGGTTATAAGCTAATTAAGGTAAACTACTCTCAGAAAGAGCTTTGGTGATCTCAGTAACTTAGTGCACAAGCACTTTGGGAAATACCTGTTCTCCTGCTCGTCTGTGTTGTAACTAAAGTTAGGGATGTGGTTTAGGCTTGTCCTTTGTATGCTTGGTTCTAAAGAGAGGAACAGCCTGTTCCTGAACCTCACTAACTCTTAATCAGTAACACAATTTAATCTGCTTTCTGCAGTTCCATTGTAATTAATTACTGGGGGAAGGGGAGAGAAAACTTTAAAAGGAGTGGCTAAGATAGCTGTTTATATTTAGTTCAGGAAACCTAAAAGAAGCTGCTCAGCCAAGGCCTGGTTCCATCAACTTTTCCATAAACACTTGTGTCTGTATCTCTGGAAGCAGAAGCTGGCAGGAGGGAGGCTGCTGTGTGTGGCTACCCCAGGATGTCTGTGTCCCTCTGGTATGTCAGAGGTGCCCTGGAAGGGACAGTGTGGCGTGACAAGACCCTATGCTGTGTCTGCTTTTGAGACATGAAGTCATTGGTTATTTAGTTCTTTTTCTGTCAGTGGTTTAATGAGCGTGGCCAAGACCAAGGGGAGCAGGGTGGTTACTGTTCTTCTTCTGAGTTTGGATCTTGTGGGACTTGTAGGAATTAACAAATACAGCAGCATTACAGTCCTGTAATCTTAACATTCGTGTAATGAGTTCTGGGATTATTATGTATTTGGCTTTACAGCATAGGGAGAGCTCTTAAAGTAAGAGAATTTTTTAGTCCCAAATTTTGGTGTTTTTTTTTTTTTCTAAAAGACAAGTCAGTTAATTGAATGTTTAAATTCTACACTGAGGAGAAAGGGCTGTGTGAGAACTGCAAAGCAGTCATTAGTGATTTATTTATTTTACTGATTTCATATACAGTTAAATTCCTCTGGCACTTTCTCTTATGGTCTGCAAGAGCTGTCAAAACTTTGCAGTATTACTGATTACATGGTCATCTGAGCAATTAAGTGAGATAAGGTTTGTAGGAATAAGTAATTTGTGGGAGGTGGGAGAGAGATGGAATTTGGGAGGGGCTGATTTGCCCCTTAGAGCTCCTTATAGATCCAACCAAAGTTCATCCTTTAAGGAGGCTTCACTAAAGCTTCATGGGCACTTCTGAAATTTGTCAGCTTATTTTTAATAATTGTTTTGCAGCGCTTCCAAGCCTGACAGCTGCAAAGAAGTTGATAACCACGTTTCTGAGGATGAACCTTTGGCTGCAGCCCCTGGTGATGATGTAGAACTGCCTGCTCAAGAAACCGAGGGTTTCACAAGGGAAAAAAAGAGGTATTGTGTTATTTCATATCTTACAATGCATTTCCATGTCTGTACATCTTTTGCTTAAGAATTGTTACTAGTGTGAAAGAGGCTGAACAGCTTTATCAGGTGTTTTGTGGAGTTGTATGAACGCTTTGCTGCGAGATTTTGAATCCAAATGTTAGACTACCAAGACCTGCCTAATTCACTATATTTACTCGTAAATACCAGAAGAGGGAGCTTGGGCTACACTGGTTATTACTATGCTGATCTTTCCTGCTGTTTTTAAATTAATATTTTTTAAGTTTTTTTTTTTTTTTTTTACCAATATTTTCCTTTCTGGAGGTTCAGTTTTGGTGTTTTGTTTGGTTTGGGTTTTTTTGGTGAAGCTGTGCAGGATCAGGTTGTATTCAAAAGGACTGATCAGCTCATTCCCCTTCAGATTCTGCCAGCATCTTCCCCACCTCACACTATTGATTTGCATTGTTGTTGTCAGTAGTGAAGGAAGAATAAATGTTGTATTATCTTGATTTCAAAGTTAAGTGTTTCACCACTTCAGGTGTGCCTTGGTTGTTGCCATAGTATTTGATAGATGGCCTAGTGCACTTTTTGCTTGGAAAACCCCCAAAATGAGTCATAGAACCATAGAATGATTTAAGTTGGAAGGGACATTAAAGATGATCTGGTATCAGCTCTCCCATCTCAAATATAGTCGAGACAAGACGTGTTTGGATATTCAAGTCAGAGCTTCAGCTGACGCCTGTCTGTGGGTGATTAACCAGTCTGCTCTTGTGGCTTGGCAATAAAGGCCTGCCCTTATTGTGACATCTATTAATGGAAAAGGTCACAGCACAGCTGAGAATATGAAATGGGCCCTCCCTGGAGAACAGCATTCTCCACCCCACCAATACAGACTGGCAGGTTGTGACAAGTAGGATACAAGGCAGGAGACACCACGGGAAATACAGTTATTCCACTAAAGCTCTGTTCAGAAATGTCAAAAGATGCTGCTGTCAGCAGGAGGATACTCTGAATCATGAATTAAAATGTTCACAATAGACATGTTCTGCTGTGGAACATTAGCAAATGCTGCTGAAAAGACTACCCACAGTATAACATCTAGGAGACGTGTTGCTTAACTATTTGTTCTGAACTTCTGATTACTTTGATCAGAAAATGGTGTCCTGATCTTTAGTGTGTGTGCTGCTGTAACACAAGCCAAACCTTCTGGATAGTTTTCCTCCACAATACTGCACTGGACCCACATTGGTGGGGAACACAAGGGTTCGAAGGCCTGTTTTGCACCAGTATGCAAGTTCTGGAGAGATTTTTCTGAATTGAAGGGTAGATACAATGACCATTCTCTAAAACTTGAGAGAAATGGGCAGGTGAGGTTGTAAGTTAAGAGATATTCACCCTGAGATGTTGGCTCTTTCCAGAGAATCATCCAAAATTGTTCAAACTGGACTGAATTTCACATTCTGTGAGTGCTTTAGTGTAGTCACAGATGACTGTTGTTTACAGATCCAAATTGAAACCACCAAAACACACGGTATTTTTTTTCCCTTTTCACTAGAATCCAACTTCAAGGAGAGGAGAAATAATTTTAGAACTCTACAGGCAAGCAGAGCTGCTGTGTTCACATATTTAGATTGGCTTGGGCCTCTGAAGTTTCTGATTTGTTTTGATGTCAGTGTAGTGTGTTTAATAATGTGTGCGTAAGAAACTCTTGGATAGGGTAAACAATGGTGTAATTAAGTAGAATCATAGAATCATCCAACGGTTTGGGTTGGAAGGGACCATAAAGACCATCTCATTCCACCTCCTGCCATGAGCAGGGACACCTTCCACAAGACCAGGTTGCTCCAAGCTCCTTCCAGCCTGGCCTTGAACACTTCCAGGGATGGGCAGTCCACAGCTTCTCTGGGCAGCCTGTTATATTAGCAGAACTGCTTAATGCAGAATTAAAATCCAGCCTAGGATGTCAGTAACCCAAGCTGGACACTGAGAATAGTGGTCTTATCACCCCCAGACTCCTCCTCCAAATCTGAACTTGTGTGTTTGTTCTTTTTTGTAACATGAACACAAGACTTTGACAGATTTTAATGGAAATTAAGATGCACACAGAGGTGAGAATTAAGAGTTTTCTGTGGGACAAAAGATAATTCTTGCATCCTCTTGAAAAGCAAATCTATTACTGTCCAAATAGCTGTTTGCTGTTATAATCAGCCCATTATGTAAATACTTCTGAGACTGTCTTGCATTTTTATGTGATTCATGTGTATCAAATCAGCCATGGAAAATAATAGTCTGCAAACTGAGTTATGTTTCACTTTGTCACATTTATGTCAACTGCCTGGCAAGGTGCTGACCTTCTGCAAAGGCTGTGCCACTGCACCACCTTCTGCAAAATGGATCCTTGAGGCATTTCAGCCTCCTCTGTGATTGTCATGGTCACATTATGAACTGTGTCACAGACACTTTATAATTTGTGCTCAAATTGCTATAGAGACTAAGTGGTTCTTTATGGGAGCCCTACAGACAGAGCTGGAAAGGCTCTGAAGGCTGATCCATCCCTGTATCCTGGAAGGAGGAGAGATGGATATGATCTGTTCTGCAGGGTTTGTGCATGTCCTCACCTGTAGCCTCAGTACCTGCTTTCAGAGCTACACCTGTGATGTTCCATGTGGCTGATGGGAATGGAGAGGTGGGACCTCCTTGTTGTCAGACATGGGGCCAGTTTTCTTTCAGAAGCTAAACCAGACTGGAGTCAGATCATTCTGAGAGACTCTGGATAGACAGGGAACTTCTGCTGATCTCTGAATCTCTGAAATTAAATACACATTTCTGTCTTACCTAATTATCCTGAAATGAGCATGGAACCAATTGGAAGCACAGCAACAAAATTCTTCTGAAAGCAAAAAGTCACAAGTCTGTACAGAAAACTCTGCTTTCTGTGTTGTTGGTTTCCAAAATGTTTCATAATGCTTCTCTGGGAGGAAGCAAAGCTGAGCAATTGGTGTCACGCTGAAAAACAGGGTAAGCTTGATAACTTCTGGGTTTTATTTGATTGATCACGTGTTGAAAACAAGTTTTCTGCTTTTGCAGAGGCTTAGTGTAAAACTTAGAAAAGAAAAATCAATGTATTGCCTTTGTTTTTGACCAATGCTGATAATCCTAGACTGAGTTGCTTTTAATGATGTAATCAAAACCAAGAAGGGATTTAAAAGCATAACGTTTTTTTTCCTTGGGGAATTCAACCCTTTTGAAAGGAATGTGTTACTACATTAAGTTTACAAGTGCACTGGGCAAGGAGGAGATGGGAAATACAAGTGAAGGATACAAATGCAATGTCAAGGCCTCTTTCTTTCCAAAGTGTGGAGGTTTGCAGTTTTTGGGGGCTTTGGGGATATTTGGGGGTTTTTTTGGAAGAAGGTATAGTTCTGTGAGTTTTATGTTTATTACATGAACTGGATAGTTATATAGTTCTAGTGTGTGTCTTGACTGGTGCACAAGTGAAGTGATTTATTTTTTTTTTTTTATAAGAGCAACAGAATGAAAGGCATTGAAATGAAATTGTTTAGGTCTTGGAAACTAAAACCCAAGGAGTTTTGTCGAGGCTTTGTGGCTGATGTCGTGAAAGGCACTTACCATCTTCTCAAATACAAAAAATAGATACCTTCCACATAACCAGCCAGTCTGTAACAAATGGACAGGAATGAGCCACACTCCTGCTCTTCATCCATTTTCTCCACTCCAGGTTTTTAAAGGAGATTGTCTCCTGAGTGATGTGTTCCCAACTGCTCAGCCCCAGGCAGGAGGATGCTTTGTGTTGCTCAGTGTAGATCTCTTCAGCCTATTACTGAGTAATAGCATCAGCTCCTGGGATGTCTGCTGTATTTCGAGCCTAGGACATTGTGGACTAAGTGCATTTTCTTGTAACTGATTGTGAGACTGCTGTGGTGGGGTCCTCAGGCAAGGAACTGGATCCTTCAGGCTTCTCTGGGTGAACCCATGATTGAGGGGGACAGTCCTGTGTATTTGCTGGGCAGGGTGCCCAGAGACCCCCATGCTATGTGCTGGCCAAGGGCAGCTTCCATAAAACAGCAGCAATTCAACAAATAGCTCCCAGGAACTGCATTTTTTAGAGGCAAAGCATTAATGGGTGCTTGACAGAAGTGGGAAATGTCACCTGTTTTGTAACCATGTCTTTGTTCAGAATTTGGGCTCTCTGGGGCGTTCTGCTTGCATGTTTGCTCAAAGAGAGCAATTATTGGTGTGTGTTGTGAAGCTTCTCTCAGTGTGTGGTGGTGGACAAAAGGGCAGTGGCAGCCCCCTGTTTGCTTGTTATTACTGTGTATTTTACAGGTTCCCTCAGGCAATATATGGTAATTTCCTTGCTGCTAGAACAGGTTCAGCAGCGTGAAAATGGATGTGTCATTACAGTAATTAATCCATCCACAAGGAGTTTCAGAATGGCATTGATCATCTTGCATTTTACAGAACACTAGAGATTCAAGACAGAGATTACACACCTGACTTGGGTTGCTGTTCCTTGGCACTGTGGCAAGCTCTGAGGGTGCCAGAGGACCTGACACTGCCAGGAGGGTGGAGGGCTTGTAGGGATCACCTCTTGTCCTAGTGCAGGTAATACATGGGCTAGAACTGTTGAGCCAGGTGTACTTTGTATTTCTCAGTAATCACTGTTATGCTTAAATATGGCCTGTGCTTTTGGGGCGCTCTGCCCCCTAATGCTAAATCTTCTAAACACAAAAGCAGAAAGAAATGCTTGAAAAATACTGGAAATACTTCAAGTTTTTGTTAACTCTTTTGAAATCACGTTGAAGCTGTGAGCTGACTTCTTTAAGGAAGTCATTTGTCCGCCCATCCTTGGCAGCCACAAGCAAAGAATTGCACCAGGTGGGAATATTGTTCTTGCCTGATTTTTTTTCATCCTGCATTTTCATAACGTGATTCTTCACTCAGACCCTGAGGCCAAGAGACCTTTGGATTCTGCTTCCTGAAATCTC